TGACGTTTTTACCGGAATCTTTTTTCTGTTTGTCTTGTGGTTTATTTCAAATATATTGGATTTTGTCTTTCGGATTAATTATTGTTGTAGTGTTTTAAAATKGTATTTTATCTACCTAGTACTTACGGTAATTGGTTCAATTTTCGTTCACAGTTCCGGTCTGCGTGGAAACGGTTCCTGAACATCTCGAGCACGTTGTCGGAAGTCTCGCTAGACGCGGACATCACCACGAACATGACCAAATTGATGACCGGTCACCAAGAGCTGCCAACTCATCACATGAGCAACGGTGRCGCCGACCATTCGCCGGGTCTGATAATGTGCTGCTTGGCGCACGACGAACACCGACGGTCCGCGACGTACGCCAACCGGTACGAGTGCAATCTCGAAATGAAGTCGTGCAACCCGCAAACTTTAGGCATACGGCTCGAAACGGATATCGGSGACGTTTCTTTGTGAACATAAAAATAGTATAATATCAAAATACCACTACAACCGTTGAAAAAAAAATAGTCACATTGTAAGTTGGCTTCGAATTGGTAATAATATATTATATTTTTTTTTCTTTTTGGACATTTTTGATGCCTGCAGTTAGTTCCAATATCGATATCATTATACTAAAATTTAGGTATTAGTGAAAAATATAGGGCTGAGGGTGGGCTGTAGTGAAATTTCAACATCAATTGAAATACCTATGGTAATAATATTAGGTATCATAATGTGACGTACCTATATGTCATAATTATAAGCTCCCGAGAGYTACAGRCACCTTAAAAAAGGAATAATTGGTTATAATGAAAATAATGAATTCCTAWAAAGAACGCACTGATCAGTAGCTACCTATCTAACATTGTACCATATTACAATGTATTTTTTCATTTTCTAACACAATACATTATATTGTTATGACAATGTTATATTATAATTATTATTTTATAATATATGGTTACGGGTTCAAATAGACGACTATAATATACAGATAACAGGCCGTTACATGCATTAGACTGCGAAGATTTTATCCATAACGAGTTTCTTAACATTTCGATGATGAAAATGATAAAACTTTTTTTTTTTTAGAAAAAAATAAACTTAAAATTTTTATTTCATTAAACTACCATTTATATTTGTTATATTTGAAAACATTTAAACTCACCGCTGTCCAAACATTTATATTTATGTGTAGAAAATAATACAGTGATTTCATTGAAACGCTTCAACGACTTAATCGCAAAAATGTTATAGCTGAAGATTAATTTATTATTATTACAATGCTGTTCTGAAAAAAAATATTTTCCAACTGTGGGTCTGCGGATATAGCATATAGGTATAATATAAAAATTTTTCAAATTATTGAATAGGGGAGATTATGGTAAATTGACAAACCTAAATATTGATTAATACTTAAACTATTAAATAATAGCCCGAAAAAATATTTGATTTATTAAAGTATCTATTATTCCTTTACCTGAGATAAGTTGACTGGTGTATATTATTCAATAGACAAATCAGTGAAATGTAGTATAAATATTAATTATACCTAATTAATCTATGATAATAGTATGCATATTACTGTAATAAACAACTCAAAGTAAATGTATTTTTAGTCAAATAATATTTGAAGAATTAATTAATTWATTTTATTTTATTATAAAAATTGTGTACAAATTGTATCTACGCATGATAAAATTTGAAATTTACATCATGATAAAAATTATTATCTAATTAAATAACAATGATTCAAAAACATTTATTCAGTTTAAATTAAATTAAAATACATAATGTCATCTTGCCTCATAAATATTTTTTAAACATTTTAATTAATTTTCTGCCTGTACAATTTATCATATTTATCATWAATACCTACGTCAAAAATATAGCTTACCTATAACAATATTTATTTAGTATATAATCGATTGAGTAATAATAATTATGGTACTTCAGACATTTTTACAGTAAATATATTAAAAACATCAAAATGGGTTTAAATAAGAAACATTAATAAAATATAAAATGCTTTTCATTATCATCTCGGTATCCAGAAATAAGTTATTAGTACTAGGTATCATATTATATTATGTGTATTAATCGGTTACACTAGTAATATCAATTGATACAATAATTTGTTAAAAGAAATAAAACCGATTCGTCATCTTGTAACACTCTTCCYTGGGTAGTATATTTTTAGAAATTATTATTATTACTATCAACGATATCTTTAATACTACTGATATAATATACCCACATCCCAAACTACTATATAGACAATAAAATAACAACAATTATGTACCTRCATTTTAGTTCTGAATATTTAATCTGATACGTGTCATCCGGTCATCGTGTAATGTGAACTTTTAACATTAGCTGTTAGAATAAATAAAAATAAATAAATGTTACKAAATTATTATTTAAGTAGATATTCTACCAATTTAATTATATCCCAATGATGTCATGACTTAATCTTAAATACAGGTTAGTAGATAACTTATACTGTCTTACAAGCTACGATACAGCACTGGATTAAGTATCTTATATTTTTTTAAAACCATTTATAAAATAACATAAATAAACAAAAACATTTATAATTTCTTAATTCATTACTTTGTCGRTCAACCAATAATCTCTGTTAGAATATGCAATACTTTCAATTAAATAGGTGCCCATGTTACATATAATAAAATGATGTTTGTATAAAACTAAAAATGATTTTAAAGTTTTAGATTGTTATTATGTTTTGTACAGATGGAATTTTCACACGATAACCTTTTAAGTTAATTTAAAAAATATATTATTATTATTAATATTTGTATCTTTATGCGAAATATCGGAGTACCTAAATACTAAATAGGTAATCTAAAAAAGTTGGGTATCTGCCTTTTGAAAAAAATTACATTTTGGTGCAGCTGATTATTATGATACCTAAACTAAAAACTATTGTCGTACCTAGATTTACATCAAGAATTTACATAATTTACTAAACGTTTTGCATAGATATAATATCAGTTCGAATTAGAATCAAGGCAAAATACATTTTTATAACCATTTAAATTATTAAAATAGAATGTTACATAATTTAAAAAATAGTTACCTATTTAGATACTTATCGCCTATCTACCCAAATGTAAAAAGTTGTATGTATCATTCAAGATTTGACTTACTGCCCCTACTTACCTGCATATTAAAATAATTTCAAAAGTTCTTAATAAGGAGTTCATAATTTGTTTCTGTCATCTTTGGCATTTAATTAAAATTTAGACATCATATTTTGTTCATAGAAATGATTATCCAGGTAATATGTATTATGTAGGTATCAGTATTTAACCATACAAATAGAAATATTTATAGCCATATCTAATATAATATAATATTATTATTATTATTATTATCATCATTTATTTATGATAACAAATATCTATATATTTAAAAACACAAAACGAATATATCAAGATACCTATATATTTTTAATGAAAATTACCTATTAATGTCATAGGTAGGAATATATTAAATTAGGTACCTACCTACCATAATTATTTTAAAATTTACTACAACGGGAGTCTTACTAATATCATTCTTAAGTATAAATATGTATGATGTATTTTTATGATTTATTTGTTATTATTATTATATACTTATGGAATTAAAACTAAAAAATTGTTCTTTTTTTCGGACGATCGACTATTTATTAAAAACCTATAACTTCCTAAAATACATCGATTGATGAATTAAAACTCGCCAGAATAATTATTGGAAATATTGTAGGTATATTTTTTGAATGCGCGAAATAATATGTTAGCACATACTACATAGCCTATGCAGGGGTACCTAGGTATTGAAATAAAATAATTRAGTTTGTAAATACTCAAATCGAAAATATTGTTTATCAAAGGTATCTAGTAGGTTTTCATTGTCAATGAAAGTGATGAATGATATGATTTAAAAGTTACACCGCAAAAAAAGTAAATCGGTAATTATTTATATTATGTAATTTAAACATAAATGACAGTTAACCTTAACTTAAGTTAATGTTTACAAAATAGAATTTTTGAAATACAGAAACGAGAACAATATTCTCGCTCTTTACCCAAGTAAATTTGAGGTAAAAAAGTCCTAGGAAAATAAGTCTGAGTAAAAGGGTCCATGGTTAAAAAATCCAAGGCATAAATAACCAGTGGTGAAAAAGTCCGGTAAATATAATTAGGTAAAAGGAAATATACGATGTGATGCCAATCAAACGTTCCAATTGGCAATTAGTATTAATATTAATTAGAGCTGAAATTGTAAATGATTTATTTGATGAACTAAATTATTATAATATATATTGTGTAGGTAGGTACTAGGTATTTCGTTTTTGTCTGAATAATAATTTCGATTTTATATGTGAATAATGACATAGAAATATTATAATTAGGTATTGATTTTTTTTTTAAACAAATTATTTTAAAAATTGTTATGTATATATCGGACTTTATTACCTAGTAACAGTAATAACCGAGTCCTATATAAGACTTATCTACTGAGGACTTTTTTTTTTTTGGTTACATTTTTAGTTATAGGTATATATTGTTGAGTAAGGTTATTATTCACATTAAATTATGAATAGGTTATAGCTAAGTATAGTTACCTTGTTACCTACCTACTTTTAGTAAGTTGTATAATATAATAATAATACCGATAGATCACTCCATTTTACACCCCATGGGCTATATATACTACAACACATAGGTGGGGTTGTAGACCTAAGCCTGTAAGTAATAAACAATTTATTAAAAATTCCAATAAAACTAAATCCTTTGAATATTTGGCATGTTCAAGGGGTGGGTATCTGCTTTTATTAGRTACATACCCTGTACTCACACCCATCTATCAAATTATTTTAATTAACAAATCTTGCTTGTCACTTATAATATTTTAGCTACCTACTTCAACAAATAGATAACTCCTTTAAGTCATAAAAAGGTATTTTAATTGTGCGTTAAACAGGTAGGTTCCTATGAGTTTCATTTAAACAAATTTATATTATCAGTAATAATTAATCACATATAAATAAAAAATTTAAATATTTTCTACATCAATATTGATGATTTAACAATTTTAATCCTTCTTTTTAACTAAGTTTTAGAGCATTTAAAATARTCATCGTCCAATGAAATGAACAAAGTTATTAATTATTTATCAATTAAAATTAGATAGGTAAGATGATATTATATACGATGTACCAATCTACCTGACTTAGTTGCATTATGTTTCTGTATAATGAGTACCTATACATACATTGTAATAAATGATAAGAAATCAATATTAAATATTATGTATACCTGCCTATTGTTAATGAACAATGCGTTTTTATTGTTTTTAATGCCTTATTGTTATTATTATAATTATTTTGGAGGAAACATGGTAGAAACTTAAGAATATGAAATTTAAGAAATTAAAAAAAAATTTGATTTAACAAATTAACTACTGTGTATACCTATTTTAATTAAAAATAAATTATTATTTCCATATTTAATAGGTACCGTTATTTGATATTTATTGTATACGTTACTAATTACCTATCTAGTATTTCTTAATATATTGTGAACAATGTTATTGGTAAACTATATMATATTCTCTTAAAAGGAAAATAAAACTTAGTGATTTAATTAATTAATCAAATGAATAATAAATAAGTTAGCATYTAAAACATATCTTTTACATACTGTGTTATCTTCAAAGGCTAGAAGTTTATATTTTGACCCTGTGAACAAGTGAATTAATTTGATTTTAGGTTTAAGAAACATTCCAAATATTGTTTATCAGTAACATCCAGACCATTTATAAATAATTTGAGTAATAGGTAATAGGCAGTCAACATTTTTACTGCATGGATTAGAGGGAAATATTGGGACATATTTAAACAAAATATACAAATTATGAWTAGATAAAAATGACTATCTTTACAWGTAATACAAAAATATAAATAATTTATTATCGTATCCTAATATTCACATCACTTTATAATCTCAAATATCACTGCTAGAACATGTAACAATAGACATAAAACTAATTCACTTTGGGACGATTTCCAACTGTTGCTACAGTATCTTCACTGTCCATTAATGTATTATCTGCGTCATATTCATCGTCTGGTAAATTACTGTCTTCAATTCGTCGCTGAGCTGTTATGTACACTGAAAAAGTATACTTATTTTTGGAAAATGATGACTGAAAAACAAAATAGATAAAAATAGATAAAATATAAGTTTCAGTATATAATTCAAAAATAAATAACTTGTGTTTGAAAGTTGATGCACTTAATTTATTTTTCTCTATTAATAATATTTAAAAAAATTACTTTTGTTAAATAAACTTCCAAACCACATTATATAAACTAACAGATAAAAAAGTATGAATAATATCACTTTAAAAAAATATTACATGAACAATAATAATTTAAAGCATTAAAGAATATCTTATTTTTACAGTGCTTCAATGTTTCTATACTTATTATTTCATATGCAATTATCTCTACTTTAATATAYAAAAATAAAAGTCTATCATTATATATATCTATACATATATTGATATATAAGTATATTGAAACGTGTTAGAGAAGTTTCAACCATACCGGAAGATTTATTTACCACTAGACACCCAATATTTCAAAAGCTATTTTTTAATTTTACTTATCATTATATTTAAATTGTTTTAAAAATCGTTACAGCAAAATGCACTGTAAAGCATCAAAATATGCCATATAATATGCATTAAAAATCATGAAAATATGCAAGAAAAAAAACTTTGAATTTAATTTAACAAATAAATTCATAATTTTTATTTGATTTATTTGACTAGTATTACTAGTTTATACATTTATAACTTAAAATAATTTAAAACAAGTT